CTCATTCTAGGAAAGAATTGTTCTATACCTACCTCTTTCCCAAAGTTTTGTCTTGGAAAAGAGAAAGTCCTTGCTGTAAGTTTGGTAGGTGGGATGTGGAACCAGCCAGAAAACTGTCACTACTTAAACAGGGAAGACAAATAAAGAGTTTCCTTACTTCTCAATTTTGTTTGCAGGCATAACAAGTCCTGAGTGATGCAGTCCTTGTGAATGCAATCAGGTGGGAAAACTTTCTGGGGCAGTGTCAAGCTCAGCAACTCCATCCTAACAGCAAGCAGCCTGTTTTTTATTTTCTACTATATTGCAACAGATGCTATGTTTAACTTTTCACTTCTCCTCCAGCTGTTGAGTTTTTAAACAAAATCTTTACCAGGCTTAAAAATACTAGTTGGCTAGTCAGGAGCTCGTCAACAATTAGAAGATTGTTCCTCACCTCTGTATGGCCTTAACTTTTGAGGCACCTTCGCCTTTGGTAATAGTTTAACTTGGTGAATCATTATATTATTGCATGCACCGAACTTGACAATATCCTGTGTCTGACCTGAAAAGAATTTGATTAAAAATAATAAAATAAATATAAATAGATGAATGGTAGATAAACAGTGGCTGTCTCTTGTTTTGGGCTTCTGAAGGTCTGTGATTCTAGCATGTTATTGGACATTATAGTGGCAGGTTTTAAAAAAAAAAAAAAGATGGGATTCTCACATAAACATTTTAAGGGGCTTTAAGAAATGCCAGTAGATATTTCAGATTCCCAGTACAGTTGTGAGTACTGGTAAGTATCGTAAGGGGATGACATCCTAGCCAAAGCCCTCCAGAATGGCAAAACATACTAGCAATGGTATCCTCCTGCCCTAGCAGGAGATGCATGCTCTCAGAGATGCCAACAGAGTGAATATGGTGCAATTTATGTTAGGAGTATAATACATTTTGATGGGTTCAGAAAGGTTTAGATGAGCAGGTGATGCACAAGGATCACATGGGAACAGGGAGATACTCTTCCCCCAAAATGTTAATCAGAAAGGTAAGCGTAGTGAAGGGATGCATTTAGTCTTTTAATTTAATAGGATTAAGAGATAAACTTCTATCTAGATTTACAAATATTACAGAGTTTGTGTTTTGCTGAGCTGTGTTTGAAAAGGCAGTATTATTTGTTAATTATTTTGACATTATTATTGTTCTAAGATAATTCATAGTCCTAGAAACTTCTACCACTCCTGTATACCAAAGGCTATAGAGTACAACGGCTAGTATCTTAATCAATCTAACTTAGTTCTCTTGATGTAAATACATATCTGAAAGAAGTCTGATAAATATTTACCTTCTGCATTGGAAGTGCCATTATGTTTGCCATCCAGTTTCATCCACAACTGTCACCATTTTTTTTAACAGACTGATTTTCTTCAGATACTCTACTGTAAATGATCACAAATAAAAAGTTTGCCCCTCAATTTATCAGTGGCCTGTTTTCAGTCCCTTTATTCTCTCCTTTGGTACTGAGAGGATGAGAGCACACTCTTCACAGTCCCCATTCTGTAAACTCCAGTCTGCTGTCCCACTATTTTTGAATCTTCTGTGGGTGATCAAATTCATTAGTCATTGAGACATCATATAATTGCAGGTGGATGTGGTGGGTGATATGACAAGCAATTTAATAGGTACTTCTTGCATGTATCAGAAACTTTACCACTGCAAACTGTCAGGAGCTCTGGAGTTAAGCATCAGCTGAAGGGGGTGGGGGGGAGGCCCAAGGGAGGAGAAGGAAGCAGGGTAAGGGTTGGGGATTTCAGTTTTGAATTTAGGTGAATTTTAGCATCAAATTCCTTCCTCAGAATTTTCAGTTGGGTTCCATTCTCAGCACTCCTACCTTCTTGGCATGTGACAATTAATTTGTCCCTCAGTTTCTGGTGAAGATACAGAGGGAATACAAACACATCCTGCCTGGTACAGGTGTTTGACAGCAAAGGTAAAAAATATTTGTTTGTCTGTCCATCCGTCCGTCCGTCCATCCATCCATCCATCCATCCATCCCTCCCTCCCTCCCTCCCTCCCCACACTAACATTTCCTGTGAGGAAGCCTATAGGAAAAATCACATACATTCAAAGCACATTAATTTACTGAAATCAGTAACCAGAGAGCTCACCCAGTGCTTGCTTTCATATTGCTCCATTTTTTCCTAGTTCAGGACAGACATTGTTGGTAGCCAGGAGGAAGTTTGAAGAAACACAGGGAGACAAGAGAAACATCAAACCGCAGCCCATTCCCATGGGCAGACACCCCCAGGCAGCTGTGTTTCAGCACTCGACCTGCTTCTGTTAGATAATGTGCAGTGCTCTTCCTCGCCTAAGCCGAGCGCCACGTTTATAGACACAGCCTTTCTGTCCCTCACCTCTCCATGTAAATGGGACTGCACAAGCCCACTGACTCCACAATGCCAGCATCAGGACCAAGTTTTCACCGATCCTAACTGTTTAAGCTCATCCTTTCTAGGTAGTCCAGCACAGAGGCATTTTCCTAAGAGACATGTTATTGCTGAAAGTGCATAAGGGCTCCCAGTGTTATCTATTTCTGGCAGGGACCCAATAGCTAAACAAAGTTAACTTAACCACTGCCCCTTCTCTCATTGCTTCTAACCTTTGGGCAGATCTTCTCAGGAAACTGTGAAAAGGAATTCAAAGCTCTAAAGCAGACCTTTGCCCCCCCCCCCCCCCCCCCCC